AAGTGTCCTTGAATGTAACTTGTAAAAGAGCTGCGGAGACAATTCTCAAGTGTCTGTGAAATGCCTGTGTTTTGTGAGTCGCACTTAAGCCGTTGTGGCTGTCTCCTTTGGGAAGAAGCAGAGAAAATGGATCTGTCTACGATTGCTGTTTAGATTGGGGGGAAAGGGGCAGGTTTGTGCCTATTGAGCAAAAGTGCTCTTGCGTATTGCTTCTCCCCTCCGCAAAGAGTTGCAGCTGGTTGGACAGAAGATGGTGAATCTGGACTGTTTGCAGATCAGCTTTCCAAGTGCACTTTACGGTCTCTGCATAAGTTTCCAGATCTGTGTCTAGGCAATACATTGCATATGTCCCAACCTTGCTCCCTTTGGAGTTTACATCATTTGTTTTTAAACTTCCAGTATATTTTCTCTTCCTCTTCCAAAAGCTGTAAGGAATTAGCTGCTAAACTAAAACAGGAGGGCAATTCTTATGCTGATAAAGAGCCGATTTTTGGCCCTAGCCGCTGTTGAGTGCGGAGCCCCAGTCTGTAGCACAGCTTCTAGAGCAGCTCCTGTCTTCTGCTGCCAGAGAAGTAGTGCCGATGCCTCCCGCATCGCAACGCGGGCGAGGAGCCGGGATGGAAAACTCAGAGGTGAGGCCAAAGTGGCAAAACTGGGATGGCCAAAAGGAGGTGTTGACACCTTGGCCAAATGGCTGCAAGTGAGCCCTGGTCGTCTTCCTCCTCCGGGGCTCTGGCTTCACGGAGCCTTTCCAAAGGCTGCCGGAGGCTGTGACTTCCCTAGAGAGCCTGGCGGCTGCTAGTGATCTGCTGAGGCTGAACTAGGGGGAATGTGGCTGTTTTCTCGGCTATTGAGGCATCGCGGTGACAGCCGTGACGGGATGAGTCACAGAGGGCGTGTGTCCCATCCTGGTCTCCCTCGCCTCTGGCTTCGCTTTGGCACTTGCGCGTATCCAAGCATATGTGCTGGTTTGGACAATCCCCCGCTCCCACCCTGGCCAGCTCAGAGGGGTGCCCAGTCAATGCCTGCGTCCTCTTTGTTTTTAAAAACTATTTGTGTGCTTTAGAGCTCTTTGCCCGTGAGCTGGGAGATGGATTCCCGCTCACCCGACGTCCCGGAGGCTGCAAAGCTGCTCTGAAATCACGCCAACGAGGCGCAGAAATCAGTGCTACCCGAGAGCCCCGTGGGCAGAGATGCAGAGTGGACGTTTCTCCACTTGTCAGGCCAGGAAGACGGGCTGTCACCCGGCAGCCGGGCAGGAGGATCGTGGCTTAAAGCTGGCTTCTAAAAGCAGGGGTCATTGACCGTTGGTCTCAGTCCTGAACTCAGGGTAACTGAAAGGAAGAGAAAGGAGTAGTATTATTTACTTCAGTACCAGGAAATTGGCATCCCCTTCGGGAGCCGAGCTGCCAGTTTCTATTGATTCTTTTTTTTTTTTCTTCCTTTCTTTTTTTTTTTCCCCCCTCCCCGCTGGCATTTCACACACAAATTCCCCCAAGGCGGCTCTGCAGATCCCAGTGTCAAACTCCCTTTGCAAAGCCCTGGAGAGCTTCCTAGGGTCGGGTTTCCCAGGAGTCTTGGGCCTTTAGCTTCTCCTGCTAGCCCTCTTGCTGTACCGGTCCAGCAGAGAAGCTGGTTTGACTGGGCTGGATCAAAGAACCTCCCTTCTCCGGTGGCTGGCCTCCCTGGCTTTCTAGCAGCAAGCCTTGCACGCCCTTCCACAGCAGGTCCCGCTCGCAGCGTGGGAGCACCCCGAGCCAGAGGAGGTGGGGAGCAGGAGAGCATCCCGTTACGAGAGATGCGAGCTCTGCGAACTCCAGCATCTCAGCAAGGTGATCCTGCCCTAACCCCCACGTTCACATCGCTACCGCTGCTCCGGGGAGCGAAGTTTGCCGGATCCGCCCGATCCCAGGCGCCGTGGTCCACGTTTGGCCCCGTGGTCCCCACGAGAACTGAGCACTTTCTGGGGTGAGGCTGTTTTCGTGGGCTTTGCGGTGGGTGCACAAAGAGCTCTTGCTTCCTGCAAACCAAACTTTCTCCTCTTGGTAAATTTTATGTGTAGAACTATATATTCTCCTCTTCAGGAACCTCCTTCTTGTAAAGGACAGATTTACTGTCCTGCTGAGTTAAACAAGGGAGATGCTGGACTTCCCCTTTGCATTGGAGATTCAAACGAGTGGCAGGTGATTTATTTTTAGCATCATCTCTTGGTCTGCGGGAAGGGGAGGCACGTTATAAAGGCTCAGGGGTGCTGGGAAGTAAAGCTATATATGCATACCGACTGTTTCAATGCTGACACTATAAATTCACTGGTGGATAAAAAAAAGAATGTAAATATGCACTTAATGCAGAATTTTATGGATGGTCATAATTTAATATATTGCAAACTTTGTAAATACTTGGAAAAAAGCCTGTAAAGTGTGTAAATAAATGAGATTTGTATGTAAGAAGAATAAAAAAAAAAGTTTTTACTTTTTGCAATTAAATACAAGTGTTAATGCACCTTTTCCCCTTTCCTGAATTTTTTTTTTTCCTTTTCATGTTGCATGTCTGCCATCGGGGGGGTTATTTAACCCTTTTCAGGGCAGTTTTTCTAAGTGGAAATGCCATTTTAAGCAAAAAGGCAGAACGCTGTTGTTTGGAAAATGTCAAAAGAAACACTTTGGAAAATGTTCTGTCAGTTTTAGCCTGGTTCCCTAAACAAAGCTGATGCAACAGCTCTGCCTGTCCCTCCTTTCTTCCTAATAACAATCTGTCCTTCCTTCACAATTCAGCTTATTTCAGCCAAACCTTGAGGGCAGAAGACAACGAACTCCTCCAGAGTTCATAAAAACAGGCAAGTAGAGGAGCGACAGACCCCGCTGCTCCCGGGACAACGCGTAAGCCTTGTTAGACACCGGAGAAGCCACGCCGAAGACCCTCGAGATGCGAGTCAGTAGAAAACCAGGTTTTGTTGCTTCTGCAGCGCGGAGTTGTGCCTTTCTGGAGCCCGCCCGCCTCGGGCCGGACCCTGCGCACCCCATCAGGTGTCGGTGCGCGGCTCCCGGCTCCCGTGCCGAGGCTGCTGGCTCCCGGGAGTGTGGCGGACGGGCTGTTCCTTGAGTGAGGAGAAGGAGAGCTGCATTCCTCATGTGCTTACCTAATGCCGGCTGGACACGAGCTTGTCAGCTCCAGGGTGGGGCTTGGACCCTGTGCTGTTAATCTCGATGCTTCAGACGTTGGCTCCAGAAAGAGCCGTCGGGGCAGGTTGGGGAGTTGAGAAATGGCCCTGCGCCCCCTTTGCCAGCAGCCGCGCCTGACCTTGCCAAATGCATCGGCCGTTACTCACGTTTCCCCGTGAGTCCCGTGCCCCGGTTGTGGCTACTCCAGGGCTGTTTTCTCTTCCCCACGAGCACTGTGTGTCCCATTTTCCCTTAATCCCTGCTGCTGCGCTATCTCCTGCGAGGCTCCTCAGGATGCTGTAGTGCCAGGGGCTCCGCGGAGCTTGGCCCTTCATCTCCCCATCGCATTTGCAGAGACCAGTACATGCGTTGGGATCTTCTCGGCCCTGCCTTGTTCCTCGTAAGCCAAGCCATGGCGAGCTGGCTGACAGGAGTTGGAGCCAGTGTTGATCCTTTCTAGTTGTTTCGCCAGGTCTCTGGAGATGCAGCAGCGGAGCTTTTGAGGTGTCTCATGGTGGAGATGGGTTGGCCTTGACCCAGATTCCAGGCCTGCAGTTCGCCTTAGCGATAAACGGGAACCTCTGGTTTGACCAGATGAGTTGAAGACGGCCTGTTGAGACACTGGCCTCAGACCCTGCTTGCAGACATTGTTGGACTACGGGGAGTATGGTAGACCCTGCACCTAGTGAAGGAGAAGGTAATGTGCAGAGGTAAGAGATTTGGGGGGCAGTAGGAGAGCTATTGTGGCAAGAGGTGATCAGCATGGTCCAAAGCAAAAGGAAAAATGGCAAAGCATCGCCTGGGGAGGGGAGAGGGGGAGGCAGAGCCGACAGCGTGTGATTAACTTGGCTCTGCTAGCCAGCGCTGCCCACCCGCTGATCCTTTCTAATAGCTTGCGATCCCCAAAGGCAGCTCCTGGAGCAGAGCCGGGGCGGTTGCACAACCGCAGATGGGGAGGAGGAGGCTGCAGGCGGGCTGGAGGGTCTCTGCCAGACAGTCTCCATGGCGGGGCGACTCGGGACACCTGACTCTGAGCCCTCCAGGTGTCCGTCTGGGGGGGAGCACGGCCCGGCCCTGCCGAGCTAAGGGCTGCTTATTCCAGCCAGCCCCGAAGACAGCTATAGACTCTCAACTCCCCATTTTTGGGGCAATTTCAGCTCTATATGCTGTGCTTCTGCTCCTGCTCACCCTTCTCCTGATGGCACAGGGAAGGGCATCAACCCACCCCCTTCCCAGCAGGCTGGGGGAGCCCCGGGGGGTCATTCCTCAGCTGCTCGTCCCCCCAGCGCGGCCGGTGCAGGGACACGGGGCTGGGCGAGGTGGGCTCTGGCTCCCAGCCGGGGAGGGACTGTGCTGCAAATGGTTCTCAGCAGTTGCATCTGGTTGCCTCCGTTTCCAGACACAGCTGCATTCCAGGGAGCAGGGAGGACCCTCGTGTAAAACAGGGCTTTGCTGGTTGCTCGGGGATTATTATTGTAGTTGAGGAGAAAAGGGGCAGGAGGTAGAAGAGAGGACACATAACCGAGGGCTGAGGGGATGCCTGAGGTTTGGAGCAGCAGAGGCTTGGATGAAAACACCGATCCCAGGATTACGATTCAGGCACGGGGTCTGTCTCGGGGAGCGGACCCTGCGCGCTCGTTGGCACCGGCCGTACTGCTGCTTCTCCATCAAGGCTGATATGTGAGATGGGTGTGTACCGCGTGGCTCCGAAACACTGCTCTAATAAAGAAATACATTTCCTCCCCAATCTTCAAGCTGTTGGGTGTTCCTTGCTTTTGGGAGGTGCTTTAAATCTGACTGCCAGAGCCGTGGGCTGCTAAGAGCAGAAGCTGGCTGCACGATGCTGAGCTCAGGTCTTCCTCCTGTTTTGCTGTTGCTCACAGCGCTGGAGCTGAGCTGGTCCCTGAGTGATGAAGAAAAGAAGATCATCTTGGATGGGCATAATAAATACCGCTCCCGGGTCTCTCCTCCTGCTATGGATATGCTGAAGATGGTGAGTGGCTTTTATTGTAGGAGAATGTCAGAGGGTGTTCGCGTAGTGCAAGCCTCGATCTTAATGCTAGGAGGGATCGGGGTTTTCTTTAGGGGAGGCAATTCTTCTGTAGGGCTACAACGAGGTATTGATGAAGGGATTCCCTAAATTGCCTCTGAAGAGATGAGTTTGCTTTCACCTATAGAGTTGTCTTTGGTTGTGGAAGTTCCTAAGTGTGATCCGAGTGCCCTGATGCTCTGTGCGAGAGCGATGCAGCTCTCGCTCCCGCGTGTGCCCGCTGGGGAGGAAAGGCAGGGGAGACGTGGCCGTGAGCAGGCGCCCCGGGCTCCTGCCGTGCGGGGCATCGCCTGGCGCGTTGTATTTGCCTTTGCAGGTGAATGGGCTTTTATCTATAGGAGGGAACGTCAACTTCAAAGATGGCAACCAGGGCGTTCACTTATTTGGGCTTTCCATCACTCTTCTAATCCCCACCATGCCTTGTGCGTGGCTGCCTTGGAGGTGAGGGATCTCCCATTTCGCTTGGGGAAATCGAGTCAGGCACCCGCCATCACGGGTGGCTGCAGCGGCAGCAAAAACGAGCTCTCGAGCTAGTGCTGCTTTTTGTCTTATTTGGACCCTTGATTTGATTAAAATTTGGCTATCGTGTTTTATCTTGCACCACATGTGACTTTTCTCGCTGTTAGCATGTATGGAGGAGGAGGAGGACAACTGTTTATCATGGACATTGGAGTGCTTTGCCCTTTCGGTCACAGTGTGCTTGGAGGAGACCTGGCCCAAAAGTTGACCAGGCTGAATTAAACCTTTGTGGGCTGGGAAATGGGAGCTTGCTGAGCAAATGAAGGAAAAAGCTGCGTTCAGTTACAGGGACTAGTGACTTCAGACTCAAAGGGGACAGAGCGAGGACCCTAAGCACCATGATCCCATGGACACCCACCAGAGCAAGGCACAGAAAACTTGGAGAATAAGGGCTTTGGAGCCAAAGTCTTAGCGAACGCCTGAGGGAAACAATCTCTCAAGGTCCTTAAGCCAGCGGCAATTCTGAACCAGTGACTGCTGCTCCCGGCTGAAGCTTTGATTGCAGATCGCGTGCTTCGAGATGCTCCCCTCCGCAGCCTTGCTTTGTTTCTGCTCAAACATACAGGACCCACTCACAGTCCAATGCCAAAGGCTTTTTTTTTTTGAAGCACAACAAATGCTTAGCTTGCAGCAGCCCTGACGATCTCTTGGTAGAGGTTTTCCATGAGAGCGCTGTCCTTGCCTCCCTCCCGGGAGGTTTGCTTGGGCTGTCTTCACCTCCGAGTTCACCTGCTGCCATGGCACCGTGCCCGGCTGAGGTCACCCCGCACTTCTGTTTGGGACACGGATCTGGTTGCTGTGGAAATAGTTAGGCGATGGGGGGAACGCATAGCCTAAAGCCACTTTTCTTTTTTAATGAGGCAAATCCTGCAGGTGCGAGTCCCCTGTTTATGGAGCCCAGCTCCGTGCCAGAGGCAGAGGGGCGTGCGCTCCCCAAACTGGGTTTCCAGCCATCGCTCTCAGCCTGGCTTGGGGCCACGGTGGGAGGTCAACCCATACTCTGTGCCTCCATCCAGGTATTTCAGTGTTTCCTTCCCCCCCGGTCCCTTAGTGCTGCTGCTCAGGGGCCCGTCCGCATCCCCTCAACACCCCGATGGTGACGTGCTCTGCACCGGGGCCATGCTCTGTCCCCCTTTGGATCCAGCCCTGGCTCTGGCCGGGAAGGTCCCCCCTTAGGATCCGCTGGTTGCTGGGCTGCCTTCCAGCCCGCTGCAGAAGCAGAGCTGCTGTCTCCATCAAATGGTGCAAGGCCAGTCCAAACAGCTGCGGCGTAGGGTTCCCTGTGTGCCTCCCTGCGAGAAAACCTCTCCTCCCGCATATCAATGCGGCCGGCGGGGGGCTGCGGGCCAGTGGGCTCAGCTGACGGCAGGGCCACTGCGGCTCCGGAGGGGGCTCTTGGCAGGCAGCCGGTCGGCCGTGTCTCAGATCCAGGCAAACAGATGATGTTTCCCAGGAGCGTGTGCTCCCAGGCTCTGTGCAGCTGCTGGGGATGTGTCCCGCTCTCCTCCCATCCCCACCCTGGTCAAAGAGGGATGTCCCCAGGCCCCCTCCTGTGTGACCCGGGGTGAGTTCCCTGCTTTCCTCCATCCAGCTTCACGGTTTCTCCATGCTGAGTGGAGGATGCTCCATGATGATGATAGAGATGCTCCGGGCAAGGTTGTGAGGGTTGTGCTGATGCACTGACCTTCCCCCGTCTGATCTATAAGCTAAGGTTTGGTTTGGGCTGAGACTGACTGTGGAGCTCCCCTCTCCTGAGGACTATGTTGGTAGGGATTTGAATTTTACTCGTGAATGGGGAAATTGTGGCCAGAGAGCCCAGGGGTCCTTGGTACACGTCCTTCTGTATGTCGGAGAGCCCAGTGTCCCTCTCCGTGTGCTGACGCCGAGCTCCTTTCAGAGCTGGGACACGGAGCTGGAGGCCTTTGCTCAAGCCTACGCAGAGAAGTGCATCTGGGACCACAACAAGGAGAGGGGACGACGGGGGGAAAACCTCTTCGCTATGGCCCCAACCCTGGACCTGGAATTCGCTGTGGAGGACTGGAACGGGGAGGAGAAATACTACAACCTGACAACTTCCACGTGTGTCCCCGGGCAGATGTGTGGCCACTACACCCAGGTACCAAGCTGGTGGGGCAGAGGGATGGGGTTGTTGGGAAAGAAGCTGTACCAGCACCCCAGCTCCTCCCAGAGTCTTTGCAAAGGGATGGGGAACCAGGCAGGAATCACCATGGTACAGGGGCACCTGGGCGTGGTGCCAGCCATGACCAGCCTTTTTAGAGAAAGACCACTTTGAAACAAGCTCTGCAGCCCTTTTTGGCTACTCGGCAGAGCTGGGTGCCAGCTTGTCTTAGGCAGAGATATGAGGCCTCCGTGTTTCTTCACAGCTTGGGTGGGAGCAAGGAGAAGCAGAGATGGTGCTGGTAAATAGAAGGATGCATGTATGGAGGGTTCCAGGACCAAAGCACAGATAGTGATGCTCTGCCTGGGTAGACTACACGGTAGGAAAGCTGTGGCACTTGGATATGTGGACTGCAGCCCTGGGTTGGGAAGGTGGTCGGACAGGGGCAAGGGGCAGGATCCTGGATGCTAAAGCAACGTGGGGATGTGGGGGCACACACTGAGATGAGGGGGACACTGGTGTGGTGACAGAGCAGCCTTCAAGGCCAGGGGACAGGTTGCCAACAGGGTGCCTGCCTTCCCCCAGTCACCTCACCTTCACCCCTGGTCTTTGCCTTAGGTGGTCTGGGCAAGCACGCATCAGATCGGCTGTGGGGCAAATTTTTGTGAGAAGATCGACGGAATTGAAACAGAGGACATGTACCTGCTTGTTTGCAACTATTATCCCCCGTAAGTCCCATGCCTCGCGTGGCTTGACGGGGTTTCTGTGCTGGAAACGTCCATCCTTCAGTCCCTAGAGCAGAGCAGGATTTGGCCTTGTTCAGAAATAAAAACAAAGCAATTCCAAGAAAGGCCTTTGTTATCTTGGGCTGGTCACAAAGGAAGGAAGGGTTGTCTGGTGATCCTCGCCCGTGATTGCGACTGCTGAGGTCTGGTTCAGCTCCTGGCACAGACCTGAGGAGGGAGCTCCCCGCCTCCGAGAGCTGCCCAAGGTGATGCTGCCGTAGCTGAGGGTACAAGTGGCAGCTCCCTGCTCTGTGCTTTGCTCTTCCCCGCCGGCAGCAGCGGTCGCCTGGGGTAGAGAAGCCCATTTGTACCAACAGGAAGGGTTGGACATGGGAGCAGAGGTGGGTGGCCGCTTGCAAAGCCCTGGGACTAGCCTTGGGGACCACTTGCTTGGAGCTGGCGAGACCAACAAGAGCGGCCGGTTGCTGCCGACCTCCTTAGGGGTCTTTGGGAGACAAAATCACATGTCCAAATGCCCATTGACTGCTCTGTTGTAAGGGGTGGTGAAGGATCTGGCCCGTGGAGCTGTCTCCCCTGGTTTTAGCAGCCTTGGGGTCAGGTTGTTGGGTAAACGGCACTGACAGTCTGTGGCAGGAGACCAAGACCTGTTTTTTACATTAATCCCGACTTTTGCCTTGGCTGGGATATTCCGGTTGAAGCAGACCCCCTCTTTGGGATGGGTGTTTCCCCCTCTCCTCACACCTTCTTTTTCTTGGCATTTTCTGCTTCCAGGGGTAATATGAAAGGCCGAAAGCCGTACAAGGAAGGACCCTCGTGCTCACAATGTCCCGAGGGCACGGTCTGTGTCAACTCCTTGTGTGGTAAGTGAAGCGAAGTGGCATGTGTCCCTTGACAGGCTATTGGGACTCAGACCCTTGGGTTGGGGTCCAAGCTCTGAACCTTCCTGGAGCTATCGGGAAGCCCTGGACCAGCAGTTCCAGGACTGGATCATGAGACATCAGGTGCGAGGGCAGTCCCTAAGACAGGTCAGCTGCCTCAAGATGAGGAGGATCAGACAAGGACCTCGTACCCCCTTGGCCAGCCATTGTTGCCCCATGAGGATGCCCTGACCCCAAGGGGCAGGAGGTTGTGTGAGGGAGATGAGATGTCTCCAGGTTGGGAACCTCAAAGCTGGGGGATGGCCCAGAGTGACCTGAGAGGGGTCGGCTGCTGCTTCAACCCCCAGCTGATTTCTGCTGGCCCTGCTTAGCGCAGGGGATCTGTTGAGGTCAGCTGACCCCAGCCCTAATGGATGGCACTTTTCATCTCTCACCAGAACCCACTGTAGAAGAGACCACTCCAGCCCCTGTGACACCAAAGGCAAGCCCATCCACCCCAACCACAGCCATGCCAAAACCCACAATCACAGCCAAACCAGAACCCGCAACACCAGTGCCCACCACAGCTAAGCCAAGACCCGCTGTTGAGGTCAGCTGACCCCAGCCCTAATGGATGGCACTTTTCATCTCTCACCAGAACCCACTGTAGAAGAGACCACTCCAGCCCCTGTGACACCAAAGGCAAGCCCATCCACCCCAACCACAGCCATGCCAAAACCCACAATCACAGCCAAACCAGAACCCGCAACACCAGTGCCCACCACAGCTAAGCCAAGACCCGCAACCACACTTCCAACCACAACCACAGCCAAGCCACCACCCACAACCACGCTCCCAACCACAGCCACGCCACAAAAAAAA